AAAAAGCAGAAAAATTTTAATTTGTTATTGGTGTGATACAAATAGAGATTTTATTACTCTGTTTCAATTTTTGCAAGAAAACTTTAAATTAGTATATCTTTTATATAGTATTTGTTATGAAAATGAAAAATCATTTTATAAATGCTAAAAAAGAAAGTTACTAGAAGGGTAATAAACAAAAAATAAATTCATAATAATATTACTGTATTTAGTTATAAAATTTCAATAAAAAATTTTGATTATGTAATTTTATGTAAAATTTTTTTTATTTAACCTCTCCTTAAACTTTTATAGATAAAGTAATGTAAAACAGATAATTAAATTAGTTTAGCTTAAGCTATAAATATTATATTATCTTTTAAACTGTAAGTATAAAATTATTTTAAAATATTTTAAAAAACAAAATATTTTGATATCTAATGATTATAAAAAAATCAAATAAAATTTTTAGATTTTATTATATTTTGATATATATAATAGTAGTATTTTTAAACTTTTATAATTAATAATTATTAATATATATTAATTTTATTTTTTAAGTTTATTGGATTTATCATATTAAGACCTATTAAATAATAGTATTTTTATATTTCTGAGATTGATAGATAACAAGATATATAAGTTTAAAATTTTAATTTTTTTTATAATAATTTATTATTTATTTATCTTTAAAAATTACTAGTTAATTACATTTTTTTTTTTTTAATTTTTACTTATAAAGCAACATAAAAAGTAATTATAAAAGTATTAATTTTTTTTAATAATATATTTAAATATTTAAAAATAATTAAAAATGATTGTAATTAATAAATAAAATTGTCTGCAAATTTGTAGGCAAAACAATTAAAGGGATAGGTTTAATTTGATATATAATTGGCTACAAATCAGATAGATCTATTATATATTTGGTTTTTTTGATTTTGACTAATGAATTTCTGAATATCATTTTATAATCAAATTATTCAAGGTACTACTGATTCAAATTGAATTAAGTTTATATACTGTACATTTATTAATAAACTATAATATATTGAAATATTTAATGTAAATAACATTCATTTTTTAATAATAATAATTAAATTGAATAAATTTTTAATAAGTTATTAAATGGAATGTATTAATGATACTTTATACCGTATTAAAATTGATTTAATTTGAATTATTATATTGAAAGGAGTATATCAGGTTGAAAATAAAACAATTTATGACGTAATGTGAAGTTTTTTATATAAATAGGGATACTTATTTAACTGGCCGATTTTTTTCTTTCTCACTACAACCACTACAATTTACATTCTTATTTTACAAAAATAATATGAATCAAGGACAAGGATATCCCATTGAACGCCAGGATGCGTTCATATTTCATAACGAGGGAGCATTTATTAGATGGAGGAACCCAGGGTATGTAGCAAAATCCATTTTCATTTAAAGCTGCCATTGTAATGGAAAGTATTGTCGTGATGTCAAAGTGAGAAATCTCTTCGATCGCTTGGCTTTGGTAAAAACATACGATTCAGAGAGTTTTTACTTAGATCGTTCCTGTTTTATGTTATCACGATAACCTTTTTACCCTTGCTAATGAGAGTACAAGATATATAAGTATTCAGATTTCACAAGTGGTTCAATTCATATCATGCTGCTCTTTCGTAGGGATAAGTTACCCGCTTTAGCGTAAATGTGCCTACCAAAAAAAAATTTTTTTTATTTAATTAAAAAGGCGACGACGGAGAAGGACGGAACATTTTCGAAATAATCTAGCCGAATATCGGAGAAATTGGGTTCAAGAAAGAAGGAGGAAGTGGGATAGAATCTTTTGTAGGTTGATATTGGTGGGGATATTTGGTTTAATATTAATCATAATTGGGGCAATATACTTTCTATACAGAACACGTTTTCAAACAATTTAATAAAGGTTTGAATAATTAAAAAACTTAGCATCTATTGGTGGTGATATTTGGTTTAATAATAACCATAATTGGGGCAATATACTTTCTATTCAAAACACGCTTTCAAACAATTTAATAAAAGTTTGAATAATTAAAAAACTTAATATCTAATGATGATGTCACCGTTGTTCAATAAAGAATGTCGCAGATTGCATACGAGAACTCGTTAAGCTGGAAGGTTTCATTACAACAAGATTTGATCAATGTATCCGTAAATGTATAATCCCAACACGATTATTAGACGTAATGGCATCGAACTTGGCGTCGATTGCAAAAAAATGGTACTGGATTTATTTGCCGTTGATATCCCTAAACCTATTAAACCGCGACCAAATTGGCCATATCCTTAAACTAACTCCAAATTAGTCCATTTTGTATATATTTCGTGGAAGGAGTTAAGCGAATAGCAATAAAGATAAAAACTGTTATGATCATGTCGATTACTCTCTCTCCCCCATTTCCAATGACCAGGAAATCAATAAGACTAAGGACAATTGGTTTGGTTGTTCGATGACGAACTTTATTAATGATGATGTCACATGATACCGACGGCTAACATTTTTTGCGGTATTAATTGATTTATTGTTGCTTGGTACCTTTTATACTTTAAACATTATTTCCAGTGTTTTCGATACATTTTTCTTTAATGTAAATCTTTAATAAAATGATTATGATTTAATTCATAGGATTTGTCGATTATAATTATAAAAGGAAATCCTATGCGGCGCAGTGAATTGGAGAGAATACAATAATATAATTTCAAACATTGTCCCCTAAAAGTGTTTAGAAAGGGTTTAATTACTTTTTTTTTTTTTTGAGTAGTAACAGACATTTTGGGAAAAGTTCAAATTAGCGAATTATGGTTCCTTCCACAAGAAATTTCTTCAAACAACGAATTTTTGGAGATAGATGTCAACGATTCGATTTACCTCAAAAAAGAATAAAAATCTTTGTGTAAAAACCCACCTAGTTTGTGATGTTGCATGCTTCTTGCATCGCATGCATCGCACAAACAATTTGTTTACATTGGAAAATCGATATTCATCGATACCAATTATGGTTAATGTGGCAAAATGAAACATTTGAAAAAAAAAAAAATTATTAAACATAAATATCTTGGAAAAAAATCGAGTTTTCTTTTTTTTTTAAAAAAAAAAGGTTCATTGGACAAGGATACTAACCTTTTATGTATTAATGACGAACTATCATCTTAATTAAAAAATAAACGACCTGCAAAAAGTTCATCCCTTAATCGCACACCCTCTTGTCGTTCAACCAATTTTTGACCATGGAAAATTCAAGTACGTCCATGGGAAAGAATGAAAATCAAAAGATTGAACCAAGATTACCCAACGATTGTATAGCAGAAATATTACCATATCTTAAGGATAACGTTCGAACGCTTTATTCATGCGCACGGGTCAGCAGATCATGGTGCCAATTAACCATACCGTTATTGTGGTCCAAACCCTTCGACTCTAATACGATCACACCAAATACAAAAATAATATCACTCATTCGAACGCTCGGGTTTTGCCTTGATAATCCAACGAAAAAATTTCTAATACGACAACATGGTTTTAATCCGGATGGATTTAAAATCACCAAACCATTTTTTGATTACCCATCATATATACGAGACTTTAATTATTCCATATTTTTAAGTTCGATTAGAATTTGGTTGAGAAAAGTATTAAAAAGGAAACCAGAATTGGAATTAACAACCTTACTATTCAAATTGATTGGGAATTTGATATGTTCACGTACACGTGGATTTGAATCATTAAACGTCTCTTATAATGATAGGGAAGAGAATGAATATGAATTAGATGATGAAGATAGCGAAGAGGATGATGATACCAATGTTGTCCGATACCTTTCCAACGATTACAATGATCTTTTAGGGAATAATAACCGAATGGAATTGTACGATATCACACTATTAGAGAATTTTAATTGTGCGATAAATAATATCGAAACGTTTACTTATTGTTACGTGGGCCTTTACATGGGAAGGAAGGAAAGGATCCTTTTTGAAGTGATGAAGAGAATTTTCGAAAAGTTGACCGAAAATTGTAAAAATATTAAAAGGTTAACGATATACGCGGTACCAGAAAATTTTATGGATGTAATATATTTACCGGTCGTATGTAAAGCAACGGCGAATTTGATCAAGGAACAAAAAAATATTTCATCAATCACTTTTAATCAAGAGTGGGTGGACTCACCAAACAATCTATTTTATTCATCATTACTAAGCGAGAAGGTGATAACATCATTGAGATCATTAAAATTATGTCACATAAGTGATTTTGATGGTTTATTAAAAGTACTCTGCGGTTGTAACAACCTGGAAACCCTGGAATTCACGGATAAGTTTTACGTTTCGGATGAAGATCATGCGATACAACGTATGATGGAATTCCCACCCATTCACATTAAACATTTACATTTTTATAATTTTGAATATGATGAATATGCTGGTATAGAAACCTTTATTTCATCGATTGAAGTATTATTTCGATTATCCAATAATAATTTACGATCATTAACAATCGGTGATGTGGATTCCAACATTATTAAATTGATCGGTACTTATTGTACAAATTTAAATTATCTATCAATTGAACTATTACCTGAATTATTTCCTGCCTTGAATCAAATTTTACTCTCGTTAAATAACCTTGAACATTTAATATTGGTCGAAGGAAAATATAGTATTTACCCTAGAAATAATAATGGTAGAAGACTTTTTCCCGATTTAAATTTCAGGTATCCCGTTAAAACCTTTGCAAAGTCATTACCCACCTCTTTAAAACATCTTGGTCTTGATATTAATATTAACAATGAGGTATTAGATCACTTTTTAAGTGCTTTAAAGTGTCCCCTTCACACTTTGGATATTTATGATGGCATGAAAGTTGAATATTTGGAAATTATCATCAAATATGTTGAAAATAATAATAGGAATTTAAAGCAAGTTGGGTTTCGATCCGTTAATGTCTCTTTAGGTAATGAGGAGTCTTTTAATAAATTTGGCAGGGTTATGGCTAGAATTTTTGGTCTGATTCAAAAGGTTTACATGGTTAAGAAACATTTGCATGATGGTTTTAGTGATTTCGCACCTACCAATGTTTGGTTTTTTTAATTTTCAGAAGGGGGAAGAGGATGTATTTATATCCACATGTATTAATATTATTAATGTGATTACATGTATTTTAACATATTTATTTATTTTATTTGTTATTTATTTTCTTAATAAAAATTTGATTATCAAACTGGACGCACAACGAGATAGAACGGTAATTCGAATGAAGACGTTTATGGTTTTTCATTCTAAAAAAGTAATTTTGATTGGCCAATCTACATGATTGTTTAGGCTATATTAAGAAATATCGAAATGTCACTTACCGAATTAATTTTTATTTGATAAACTGCTTATCTTTGTGTCACAAATCACCTGACGAACAAAGCGTCAATCAACTACTATTTCGTAAAAAAAAAATAAGAAATTGATAATTCCAAACCTTTGCTGATAAATATATTTTTTTCTTTAAAAAATTTCACTTTTTTTTATTTATTTATTTATTTTTGTTTTTTGTTTTTGTTTTTAACAAAAATAATATGCCAGAGTTATATTCAAGATTAGCCAATGACTTTGGAAAATTATTGGAAAATTCAGAAAATTACGACGTTATTATTGAAATAGGTGAAAATGATCAGATAAAAAGTTTTAAAGCCCATTCGCTGATACTTGGGGCAAGATCATCATATTTTCATTCGGCTTTGTTAAATAATTGGGCTCAAAGGCTTGAGAATGGATTGATCATTTTTAAAAAACCGAATATTACACCAGATGTATTTCAATATATCCTAAAGTAAATATCTTTTTTTTTATATATATTGGATATTTTAATCAATTCAATCTATCCTAACTCTATATATATCGACGATTTTCGCCACCCGTTTCACCTTGTAAAAAAATAATCTTAGGTATATTTATACAGGACAAATCGTTTATAATGAACAAAAAGCAAGCGAGATATTAGATTTGTTAGTGGCATCAGATGAATTATTACTGGATGAATTAATTGAGTATTTTCAAGAATATCTTATAGAAAAACATGATAATTGGTTAAAAAATAATGCGACTAAAGTTCTTCATACATGTTATCATCATGAATCATGTGAAAAATTATACAAGACATGTATGAATATGGTTTGTCTCAATCCACAAAGAATATTTGAATCAGAAAATTTCCATTTAATTGAACAACATGTTTTATCCTCAATCCTTAAAAGAGATGACTTATCCCTAAATGAATTTGAGATCTGGAATCATATCATAAATTGGGGAATTTACAATAATGATGACTTTGGAGAAAGTGAGAATGTTCATGAATGGTCAGATAAAGAGTTTAAATCATTAGGAGAAACTTTAAAAGAATTGATCCCCTTGATTAGATTCTCTAATATGAAATATAAAGAGTTTCATGATTATGTCATACCATATAAAAAGATCCTATCAAGTTCCTTTTTAACAGATTTGGAAAAAAAGTTTGATTCTTTGATAACAAATCAGACTTTAAATGGACCAACTAGAATTTTGCTATCAAGAAAGATAGATTCAAGAATAATTAGATATGATAATGCATTAAAAGTTGAAACTTGGATCAGTAGATCAGATGGTACAATATCTGAAACCACCATACTTAAATATCAATGGAAACTATTATTTAGAGCAAGCCTTAATGGTTACACCGCAAAAGCTTTTCATGATAAATGTGACGATAAAGGTAGCTGTGTTGTTGTTGTTAAGATTAAAGATCAAGAACTTGTGATTGGTGGTTATAATCCTTTAGGTTGGTTAGAAAAAGAAGATTATTGCGTTGATGCTAAAGGAAGTTTTATCTATTACTTTGAAAGTTTATCTAATGCTAAAATCAGTAGGGTTAAAACTGACATGTTTTATGCTATACCTCAACATAAATTTTGTGGTCCGGAATTCGGTATGATTGATTTTTCTATTGTGGATTGTTGTAATGAATATAAAAATAATTCTTGTAATCCTAGTAGTAAGTATGAGAATACTTTTACTATTGGTGATTTTTGTGTAGAGGATTATGAAGTTTTTCAAATTTTAAACAAATGATAACCTTTGTTTAATTATTATTTTGAATTGTTTTTCGCCGGTTGCTATTTTATTATTTCGTTGATTAATACTTCTTTAAACTTGGACAAGGACAGTATCACCATGTATTTCATACGCGCACGTAAACATATATAATATCAACAGTCAGTTTTTCTTGCATATTTATTAATAAAATGTCATGTTTTTTTAAAAATAAAATTCATATATAATATAAAATAAAATAAAATAGTTCCTGAAACCATCATATCTAATCTGAAAAACTGACAAGTAAATAAACATTTAAATACATTCCCTTCGCAAATATTCTATCAAGATGATCAAAATTAACATGAGGCCAATGCTGTTCAATTAATTTTAATTTCATTCTTTTTTTGCCATTATTATCGTCATCTCCGATTGATGTTAATTCATTATAAGTTCCGATAAAGAATGGTGAAAAGTCTGTCGTGGATGGCGTTACTAATAATGTCCTATGAGTAACATTTACATTCAGTTAAAAAAAAATCTTTTTTTTTTAAAAAAAAAAAAAAAAAGATGAGATTTAAATGAGATACCTTTCAAATATTCTCGAGTTGTTGGAATTTTTGTTCTGTTGAAAAATGATTTGTTCTCTCCATAAATTTTCAGTCAAGGAACTTTTAGATGGTACTTGTTTTGTTATTAGATTTTCAAGGTCACTCAATGGAGATCCGGCCAGATCATAAACGTTAACTTGAATATTTGTTCCTAACATGAATGAGAATATATATTAATTTAAAATCTTAATAAAATACAAAAGTAAAATGTTCAAATAATTACCTCTCCACGCTTTGGGATAACCAAGTAAATGACGTGGTGGCATGTATGTCTTGTAAAATATTATATTGGTAGTAAGAGTTTCAGTTGGATCGCTTACTGTAAAAGATGTAAATAAAGAATAAGTTTGAGAAAAAATTATCATCAATCATTTGATAGTCAATAATCGTGTGATACCTGGTATAAAGAATTTCTTTCCTAATTCACATTGAAAATATCCAGAAAGTTCTTCACATTTTTTAAATCTTAATGCTTGATTTTGTAATTTTTGCATTATAGGAACGATTCCCGCTTGGTGTAATCCTCCAAATATTGCAATAAATACCAGATTAAATACTGCCCAAATAGTCTATAGGAAAAAAAAAAAGGTTAATCGTTATTTATTACAAGCAACAACAATTTTTTATAAGACAATCTACCCAAAATGACATATGAAGCTTATGAAGTCTATCTGATGGTACAATTATAACGGGAAGTAAAAGTGGTAATAAGAATCTTGCTTCTTGATGTGGGATTAATGATAAAAACATAAATCCACACAATCCACTATAGACGATCACTAAAAAAAAAAAAAAGAAAAATTCGAGCGAGTTAAGAATTATTATTCTAGTGGAACTGGATTTTTATATATTTAATTGTCAAAGATAAGACATTAATACTTACCAGTTTTATATGTTCTTTTAGATATCAATCTCATAAAATTTACACTGAACTGAAGATCCTTCATGGTTAATAATGTAAGCGGTCCAAATAATAATACAAAATTATAAATATGTAAATATCTAGGATGAAGTCCATGTTGAGATAAATTATTTGAATCCAAGTTATATGCAAAATTATTCAATGGAGTGATGATCAAATTACCCTATATAAGAAAGAAATTTGGTTTAAAACAAAAGTTTTTTTTTCAAATTTTTTTTTTTTTTTTTTTGAAATGAATTAAATTATACATACATGCCATCCAATCTCTACGAACTTCATTGGATTACGCAATAATTCAAATATATGATCTTTATCAAGAAGCGTCCCACTAAATGTAATATTTAATGCGCCAAAGTACAAAGAATCGGCTAATACACATATTACCGTTGTCATAATTAACCCTAGACATGCTGGTAAGAGCTCAGAGAATTTACTGTACCTAGTAATGTTGAAAAATATTTATATATATATATTATTGTTAATAATAAATAATTACATAATACACTACACACACCAAGATTTTCCTTGGGCTCTTGCAGATAAAAAGATATGATGGAGGAATGCCAATCCGATAGGAAATGCATATAAAATGAATGTGATCCTAGTAAATGAACCCAAAGCTACAATGCAACCAAATAGGAACGCAAGATTTACAGGAAATTCATCCTACATGATAAAATCATGAGTTGAATTTTTTTAGTGCACAAGATATAAGAATCACGGCTCTTTTAATCGATATTTTCGTACTTTGTCAGTGGAAGAATCTCCATGCTGTTGTCGTAAAGGAAATTTTGGAGTTGATCCTTTCACATAAACGCAAAATGCAAGTGCTAATAAAATGGATTCAACAGAATTTGAAAATGGCCGAGTATTAAAGATAAGAACAACATAGGAAGACGCAAATACTAATAATGACCGTAAAGCATTATTAGGATAAAATAACTGAGCTATCGTATATGCGGTGTAATCTAATAATATTTGTGAATGATTTTTAACAACAATCCATACAACCCAATTGAACAATTTTTTTGTAAAGTTTAAATCATACCTATTCCAAAGGACAAGATAAAAATTGAAATCCTCTCAGTTATAAATATGGAATGTGAATTTAATATATCTAACCAAATATAATGTTATTTAAATATGATGTGATGTACCAAACACAAATTTAAACGGAATGACTTAAATTACCATTAAATCCAAATTTAGTTGCCCACGTGTTTAAAATCTTTAAAACTTGAAATGGTATTCCTATAGTCATAGCTCTATTAAAAAAAAAAAAAAAAAAAAAATATTCCATCATTATTATATGGAACAAGCCTAAAATATTAACATAAATTCTAGATGCTCACGGTATAACTATCGATCTACATTGGGGACTTTGAACGAATTCCCAAGGTCTGAAAACTTCATATCCAAGAACATCTCCTATAAAATAAATATGTGTCATGTAATTCCCAGAAATAATACTTCCAAATTAATGATGAATATAATACCAACCACCCATAATTTCGGGGGACTGAAAAAATTCATCGGGATGAACATATCCAGGCAAAGAAGCACACCAAAATCTTAGTATACATAATGATATGTATGCTATATTATTAAAACCACGTGCCATGGGTTCTATTGTAAATGCATACTTTTTAATGATTTCCGAGTAAAATCTGGAAAAACAAGAAACACTTTAACCCACCCTTTTGATCCAAATTTCGATCATTTGTCACAGGATCATAATTTTTAAGATTAAATTATACTATGATAGAATTTGAACCAGTTTACAAAAAAAAAAAAAAAAAAAAAAAATTGATAAAAAAAATTTTTTTCAAAGATTTTTTATTATACCTTCAAATTAAATATTATTATTCTTGTTCCAAAATTTCGAGTATAAGAATTCAAATTGCGAGGATCTACATCAATTCGGCGTAGTTATACCTACCAGCTGATGATCTTACTTACATTGGTGAACCCTAATATAGATTAAGTCAAAACTTTTGGGAATATAGATTAAATCTACATCTGAAATTATTTTTTTTTTTCTCAATTTTATTTAATTTATTTTTATTTATTTCGATTAAATACAAATCGTATACTCCTTGAACAAAAATAATCGCTAATTTTTAATTTGTCAAATTAATAAATAAGGTTACTAAAAACAATAAAAAAAAAAAAAAATGAATGTAGATAATCCTTCGAAAAGACGTGGCATAGCTCCCGTCAAAGCAGAGTAATTTTTCTTCAGTAATGTTCATGCGATTCTTCATAATATGAAACTTCATAAATATATATCTTAATAAACCAAAATTTAAATCAATAGATTTATTATTCGTAAACAAGAGGTACAAGATAAAGAAGAGAGTGTTTCACAGCCCGTTTTTGGTGATGAAGAAGAGAATTCTAAAAATGAGGTAAGGGAACCATAAATTTCAAATTTTTATTTCCATGTACTATGATTAAATTTTTAGTTTTTTATTTATAGGATCCAGTAAAAAAGAAACCTCGCGTAACAAGAAAACGAGGACAAAATAAGGAACGAGCAAATAAAACATTTGCCGAGCAAATTCGCGTTAGTACTTACTTTCATATTTAATGTTTATTATATGATTTGATCCGTTAATAATCCCATTTTCATGTTAATAGTTGTGTCATAAAACCTCCTTGGGTGAGAAATGTGTCAATGAACTGTAAGTCCTGGTAATTACGATGTTCCAATATTTTATCATCTGAACGTTTTAAAAATACATAATTAATTATTTTTTAGTTGCAAGTTCAGCCATGATCTAGAAGAATTTTTAAAAATCAAAGGAGAGGATCTAGGCGATAGATGTGTAAACTTTGAGAGATTTGGAAAGTATGTATCTACAATTAAATTATTTTATTCTGTAGTGATATTATTTCAATTGTATAATTTCTTATGAATTTAAAGATGTCGGTTTGGATACAAATGTCGTTATTTAAAGGCTCATTTGTCACCTGATGGAAAGTTGATTGTGAGTGAGGAAGCATCTTCTAGAATACTTGTTGAAGAAAAAAATAATCAATCTGTTAATATTCAAAAACAACTCAGGACACACTCGGTATTGTAATATATTATATGATTTTATGTACATATTTCATTCTAATAATTGTTTTTGTTATTATAGTATAAATTTCCTAGAGCCGATGTATATCTTGCAGAAATGAGACAGGAAATTGAAAAACAGAAAGATTTAGAAAAAGCAAACAGGCAGGCAAGGTTAAATCTTGATGGTTTACTTAATCAGCCCGAAGAGATTTCGGATAAAGTCCAGGATAAAGTTGAGGATACGAACGAAAGTAATATTTTGAAAGATGAAAGGTCTGATGAAATTATAGATTCAAAAGAAGAAATTACAAATGCGAGAAAAAAGATAAAAATTGAACATAATGATTCTAATAGTGAAGAAAAGGGAAATATTGGAGAAAGTATTGATACAAAACCTAAAGAGGATGTTAATGTAGAAGAATTTATAGAATCTCCAGATGTGCCATTACGTATGTGTGAAAAGAAAAAGGTAGTATGTAACTTCCAGATTTTTTTTTTTTAAAAAAAAAATTTAAATTAACAGTCAATTAATTTTTTTTCCTTTAAAATATAATTTTCAAGATAACATTTAAAAACAAGCTATATTTAGCACCGCTTACAACGGTTGGAAATTTACCTTTCCGACGTATTTGTAAAGAATTTGGAGCTGATATAACGTGTGGTGAAATGGCAATGGCAATAAACTTATTACAAGGACAGCAAAGTGAATGGGCCTTATTGAAAAGGCATATTAGTGAAGATTGTTTTGGGGTTCAAATTTGTGGGGCAAAAGCCGATCATCTTGTAAAGTGTGCCGAGTTGATAAATAATGAGATTGAAGCTGAATTTGTTGATGTAAATCTGGGTTGTCCTATCGATCTGATTTTTAATAAGGTTAAATGTCTACAAGTTCATTAACTAATGGAATTGAAGGTTTAATTGGTGAGAGAATCTCTCACACACAAAAATATGTATTTTTTTAAAGGGGTGTGGAAGTAAACTATTGATGCACGATGGAAGATTAGGAAAAATTCTTAAGGGGATGAATAAGGTAAATCAATGTTACTACTCGTTTATTTTTATTTTATGACATTAATTATATTATCAGTTATGAATGATTAGGTTATGGACATTCCTGTAACAGTGAAATTGCGTACCGGAATATTGGATAATTCGCCACTTGCGCATAAATTGGTTCCTAAATTTCAGAATTGGGTAAATACATTATTGCTTCTCTTAACCTATTATGATTATTAGATATTAATTCTTCGTTTTACCTTCACCTTTAAAATAAATATTAGGGTGTTGCAATGGCTACGGTTTGTTCTAATTTTGTATTATAATTCGATACATATATACTTGAATTTATAGAACCTTTTGAATTTATTTATAGTTACACGGTCGTTCACGTCAGCAAAGATACACAAAATTTGCCGACTGGAATTATATTTCTGAAGTCGCTCTCAAAGCAAATGAAATGGCTTTCTTTGGTAATCTTGTTAATCTTTTCATATAAAAAAGATATTTATAATTAATTTTACTGACAACCGTAATATTATTATGTTAGGCAATGGAGATGTATTGGGATACGAAGATTATTACCAACACGTCGAAAATGATCACATTGATGGAATCATGATTGGACGTGGAGCTTTGGTATATTTTGCTAAAGCGTTGTCATTGTTTTTCTGTTAAATTTTTTAATTATTGATTAATTTCTTCAGATTAAACCCTGGATTTTTGATGAGATCAAATCTAAACGACATTATGACATTTCATCCAAGGAAAGATTTGATATATTGAAAAGATTTTGTGATTACGGAATGGAACATTGGGGCTCTGATACAATTGTTAGTTGAAAGTTCCTCATACATGTTTTTGTAAAGTTGGTTGAGTTCAAATTCTTATATCATTTTCCTAAACTTTAGGGAATTAATCAAACTCGACGATTTTTATGTGAATGGATGAGCTTCTTATATAGGTATTTAATTCATTCTGAATTTACAAAGGCTGGATTGATTTATTCACGTCTTTTTTTTTTGATTTATAGATATATCCCTGTTGGATTACTTGAAGTATTACCACAACGTATAAATGAACGTCCACCTATTTTTCATGGTAGAAATGAATTGGAAACATTAATGGCAAGTCCAAATAGTAAAGATTGGGTTAAAATCAGGTAAGATTCAATTTATTTAATGTTCTTTCTATCTATTAATTCAATTAACTATATTTCTTTTCTTTTCTTTTCTTAAGTGAAATGTTATTAGGACCTGCTCCTGATAGTTTTTCATTTGTACCAAAACACGCTGCAAATTCTTATGAAGGTTAATGTGTAGTTATCAAAATTGATTTCTTTGTTTTATCACGTGTTTTCTAAACAAACAAATAAAATAAATTAAATAAATTACAATTGTAGTAAAAAAGAGAGCAAATTAAAATAAAGTAAATAATCCGCGATCAATTTAACTAAATTTATAAATGATCATCACAATGACATACAACGTTGTTTATAAATCGGGGAAAATTTTTTTTGCAACTTCCTATGTTCCCATATTACATCAAACTGTAAATACTTTTTTTTATTTTCAATATCTTAAAACCTTTGTTACTCTGAAAGTTTAGTAATGGAAGCAGCTGAGGGTGAAGGTTCGAATACCGTCGAGGAGGAAAACATTGAGTGGGTTCACGGTAACTTGAAATATAATAATTCTCATAAATCAATATAAACTAAAAAGAAAAAAAATGTATTTATTATCCTATCTATTAAAATAAAAGGTTCTTCTTTGCCACCTATCGCAAAGCAACCATATGCCTTTAGAAACGCTTTAAAAACAACAATAAAACAAATCGTTTTTAACTCCAGAAGTCGATTCATTAACTCGGATAATGATAACAGAATGTTAATGTTTTTACATGAGAAATCTCAGGAAGTTTCGATTTGCTTGAATAATACGAAGGATGAGATTTTATTTGAAATAGGGGCCGTCAGAGAATTCAAAATTTCGATTGATTTCTCAATTATTTTTCGATTTCATTCCGATTTTGTCAAATCAGTAATTATTTTTATTATTATTTTGTTTTGATGCAATTTGCTTTTGGCATTACTAATGCTGAAAATTTATATACTTTAGTTTTATTCTCATCCGGAAGGGTACCCTTACAGGAATAAAGGCAATTATAAAGGCAATTCGAGAGAGGCGGACCCCACGGGTGGAAAGCTAGCCGGAATTACGTGTATTATCCTCAAGCCGGCTACCTCCGACATCAAACATCTTAAAAATGTGGAAACTTCGATCAAGAATATGATCTATATGGCAAAATACCCAAGGGATGACGATGTGAGTAGTATTTTGTTTGTAGTTCGAATTTTATTATTATTATTATTATTAATTATTAATAATACCTCATTTTATAATAATGCACCTTAAGTTTGGAATTAGGGGAAGAAATAACGATAACTATAATTCACGACCTCCTAATGGGAGAAACAAAGTTCATCCAATGGCGCAAAATAATCATCCAATTCCCGCAATTGATCCAAAAGATGTAATGCCGCTTTGCTATAACAAACCAATTAGAAAACGCGATGTAGGCACTTTTATTTTTATTTTATTTTATTAAAATGGATCATAAGCTAACAACTTTTTGTTTGAATTCCATAGATGTATGTAGTATGTGTTTGTCCTTCTCACAAACGCGCGATTGTTTATTCATCCGAGGGTATATTTAGTCATTTCCAATTTATTCTTAAACAACGATTCGGTTGGAAGTGGGAGAGGATGTGGTATAAAAATAAAATCGGAATATGGACGGAACTCAACAATGAAGAAGTTTGGATCAGTGTGAAAAAACTAGTCGTTGATAAAGCGATTCCAAGAATCGAGGTTTTTATGAGATAAAATATTTACTAGATAGTAAATATATTTTATAAATAATATGTATATATATATATAGTATATATATATATATATATATATTTTTTTTAAAAAAAAAAATTTTTTTTTTTTTTTAAATTTTTTTTTTCTTTTCTTTTCTCTTTTTTCTTTTCGAGGACAATAATTATAAATATATGTATAGCAGAAAGCGTGTATTTTTAGTTCAAATGTAAAATATAGAGGTTGGCGCAGTAATTAGTCCTAACTTTTTATTTGGAATATAATAAAAAAAAAATTTTAAAATAAAAAAAAAAACAAAAAGCCTCAATCAGCAATATAAAAATTTCAAAGCCCCAAAATATTTTCGATTATCATGAAATTTAAATGATTGATGGATGATAGTGACTCATAATAGCTAATCAATTGTTTAGTCATAAATGTTATAAATAATTCATTGACCAAACTCTCTCTCAAAAAAAAAAATATTTTTTTTTTTCCGATAATCATGACAACTTTATCGGAGCAACCTGAACCAGATGTAGTCAAAGTTTCTATTTTAAATGAGGAATCAATCATTTTAGGATTTCATTTAACGAAATTTATGTTACGAGACGTGATAACGATTATTCCTTCATCAACTTATGTGATCTGTACTGATAATAATATTGCACCAATTTATCTTTCAAAAATTGTTGATAGCTTTAATTTAATCTGTTCAGAAATAACACTATCTAAAGGTGAAAATGCTTCAAAACCAAGATTGATTACTTACATTATACCACCAGGTGAACAATCAAAATCACGAGATACAAAAGCTGATATCGAAGATTTTCTTCTTAGTAAAGCATGTACAAGGGATACTTGTATTTTAGCGATGGGTGGTGGCGTGATAGGTGATTTGGTTGGATTCGTTGCATCTACTTTCATGAGGGGTGTCCCCTTTGTACAAATTCCAACAACTTTACTTGCCATGGTGGATTCATCAATTGGTGGGAAAACAGCTGTTGATACTCCAAATGGTAAAAATTTGATTGGATGTTTTTGGCAACCGAAAAGGATTTACATTGATTTAATCTTTTTGGAGACTTTACCTGAAAGAGAATTTATTAATGGAATGGCCGAGGTTATCAAAACCGCGGCAATTAGTAATGAATTGGATTTTATTAATTTGGAAAATGGCGTAGAAAGTATCCGTGAAGCAGTATTAAACCCTAAAAGAGACATTCCATTTCAAGGTATATCAAAATTATTATAATGATCAGGATTTAAAAAAAAAAAAATAAAATTTTTTTTTTTTAACGATAAAAATGTACATTATATTTATTATTGTTAGGTGCAACGATTGCAACTCGAACTCCATCACAATCTTTACTGTTATCCGTAATTATGGCATCGGCTAAATTTAAAGCTCACGTGGTAACACACGATGAACGAGAAGGTGGACTTCGTGGCTTACTTAATTTTGGTCATTCGATTGGTCATGCTATCGAAGCTATTTTATCTCCGGAACTACTTCATGGAGAATGCGTTTCAATTGGAATGATCAAGGAAGCAGAAATCGCTAGGCATCTTGGTTATCTTAATCAAGTTGCTGTTGGTAGATTATATAGAGTTTTAAATAGTTATGGCTTACCGGTTTCATTGGATGAAAAGAAAGTTCTGGACTTGGTTGGCAAAAAATTTTGTACAGTTGATAGGTTAATGGAAATTATGAAAGTTGACAAGAAGAATCGAGGAGATCAAAAAAAAATTGTCATGCTTTCATCCATTGGAAATACTTATGAGAAAAAGGCGACCGATATTTCGGATTCTATAATTCGTAAAATATTGTCGCCTGAAATAATGGTCTTACCCATTAAATCCTCTCCAAATATTTCATCAACTCACGTTACGATGAAAACCCCAGGTTCAAAATCTATTTCAAATAGAGCTTTAGTCCTTGCAGCATTAGGTGACGGTACTTGTAGGCTTAAAGGTCTGCTCCATTCGGATGATACCCAAGTTATGTTGGTTGCTTTACAAAATTTAGGGGGAGCGAGGTTTGAATGGGAGGATAATGGCGAAACTTTAGTTGTAACTGGTGGTGGTGGTAATCTTCAAATTCCCGATAATGAGCTTTACCTTGGGAATGCGGGTACAGCTTCAAGATTTCTTACCACAGTTTGTACTTTGGTATCAGCCGACACAGCTACCAAAACTAAAAAGCATACCATCTTAACCGGGAATGCGCGTATGAAACAACGTCCGATCGGTCCTTTAGTTAACGCACTTCGTGCTAATGGATCTCAGATTCGTTACGTCGAAAAGGAAGGATCTCTTCCTATTGAAATAACTCCCTCTCAAACCAAACTCAAGGGTGGTAAAATCGATCTTGCTGCATCTATTTCATCTCAATACGTTTCGTCTATTTTGTTGAGCGCGCCTTACGCTTCGGAATCGGTTACGTTGAGATTAACCGGAGGTCAAGTCATCTCTCAACCGTATATCGATATGACTATAGCAATGATGGAGTCATTTGGTATTAAAGTTGAACGACTTGAAGGTGATGTTTATCGTATCCCTCAAGGGAAATACACCAATCCTAGCGAGTATGTAATCGAATCGGACGCTAGTTCCGCTACTTATCCTTTAGCTGTAGCCGCAATTACCGGAATCACATGCACTCTTCCAAACATTGGATCTTCATCTATTCAAGGCGATGCCGCATTCGCTGTCAAAGTGTTAAAACCGATGGGTTGCACCGTCACTCAAACCGAGACAAGTACTACGGTTCGAGGGCCCCTTATCGGATCATTGCGTCCATTACCTCATATTGATATGGAAACCATGACCGACGCATTTTTAACTGCATCCGTCTTGGCTGCCGTCGCTAACAATGATAAGGGAGAAGAATGTGTAACTCGCATTATTGGAATTGCCAATCAACGCGTAAAGGAGTGTAACCGAATTGCGGCAATGGTTCATGAGTTGAGCAAGTTTGGAGTAGTCGCATCTGAACTTCCTGATGGTATTCAAATACATGGATCTAAAATCCAATCTCTCAAAAGTCCTATAGATGGTGTAAAATGTTATGATGATCATCGTGTCGCTATGAGTTTTAGCGTACTTGGATGTGTTATTCCAGATGGAACGATCATTCGAGAAAAGAAATGTGTGGAGAAAACGTGGCCCGGTTGGTGGGATGATTTAGAAACAAAACTAGGTATTAATCTTCTTGGAATCGATTTTGAATCATCGCATCATGATTCATCGGAACAAGCTGATTCATTGGCTAACAAACATTTACAGGATGAGAAAAATGTCAGCATCATTTTTATTGGAATGCGTGGAGCTGGTAAGTCTACGCTCGGAAAAGCCGCCGCCAAAGCGTTAAATCGAGAATTCTTGGATATGGATCATCACTTTGAATCTACGTTATCAACTACGATAACCGAATTTATTGCAAAAGAAGGATGGGAAACTTTTCGTGCTAAAGAGACTGAAATTTTCAAATCATTATTAAATACGCATTCTTCAGGATATATTATAGCATGCGGTGGAGGTATAGTTGAAACCCCCTCGTCCCGTGACCTTTTGAAACAACATTCAAAAAATCACGGAAAAGTCGTTCATATTGTGAGAGATATAAATGATATAATCAGATATTTAAACGAAGATGTTACGCGTCCATCGTTTAATGAAGAATTAATTGATGTCTGGGATAGACGCAAATGCTGGTATAAGGAATATTCTGATTTTGAATACGTTAGCATCAATACCAGCAACATCAATGGAATAACTAATGAGAAAGATATGACTAGATTTTTAAAATTTATTGTTGGTCAAGATACAAATCTAATTGAACCTTTTGATTTTTTTGGAAGGACAAGGCGTACTTTTTTTGTTTCCTTAACATTTCCGGATGTGAATCCCGCGCTACCAAATATCCCTACCATTACTCACGGAGTGGACGCCATTGAGTTAAGGGTAGATTTACTTTCACAAAATGGTAGCTTACCATCTGTCGAATATATATCCCAACAATTAGCAATTTTGAGACGTTCTTCACCACTTCCAATTATTTTTACTGTAAGATCACAAGGTCAAGGTGGAAAATATCCTGATACACAAGAGAAAGAGATGTTTTTGCTCCTTGAACATGCCATCAAGTGGGGATGTGAGTATGTAGATGTAGAAATCGGTTGGTCTCCTTCATTAATATCAAAATTGATCAAGAAGAAGGGGAATACTAAAATCATTGCTTCTTGGCATGATATATCTGGCACAATGCAATGGGATGGCGAAGAGGTTAGACGACGACATAGAGTCGCTCAAGAATACGGGGACATCATTAAGATAATTGGGCGTGCGAATTGCCTCTCTGATAATTTCAAATTACAAAACTTTGTCGAGTCGCGACATTCTGATAAACTTATCATTGCAATTAACATGGGAGCTGATGGACAACTTTCGCGTATATTGAATCAACATCTCACACCAGTTACACATCCATTATTACCATCAAAAGCTGCCCCTGGTCAACTTTCCGTTGCTGAAATTCACAAATCCCTTCATTTAATTGGTCAATTACCAAAGAAAAAATTTTATCTTTTTGGTACGCCTATAGCTCATTCAATGTCACCTACCATTCATAACACTGGGTTTGAAGTTTTAGGCTTACCACATTATTATGATATTTTTGAATCCGAAGATGTGGCAGCTGTTAAGCCTATTATCGAAGATGCCGAATTTGGAGGTGGCTCTGTGACAATACCCCATAAAATAAGTATTATCCCTTTCTTGGATCAGATCACCGAACATTCTAAATTAATAGGAGCAGTGAACACAATCCTTGTCGATGAAAACAAAAATGGACGTAAATTAATTGGAGATAACACGGATTGGTTAGGAATTTTTCATTCAATTAAGGATTCGATTGAAATTAATTCCAAGACGACGGGTTTAATTATTGGTGCTGGTGGAACTTCTCGTGCGGCGTTATATGCTTTACATCAATTAGGGGTCTCTACAATCTATGTATATAATCGTACACAATCTAAGATTACAGAATTAATCGATAATTTTCCTACATTTGGAATTGTTCCTATATCATCACTTTCCGAACCGATTCCAATTCCACCACAAATTATTATTTCTACCATTCCCGCAACATCTAATTTAGAATTCCCTAATGAAATTTTTAGTTTTGGTAAAGGAGGAATAATAGTTGAAATGGCTTATAAGCCAAGAAGAACCAAATTATTAATTAAAGGTGATGAAAAAGAATGGATAGGTATTGAAGGGATACAAGTTTTAATTGAGCAAGGTGTATGGCAGTTTAAAAATTGGATTGGAAAAAAAGCTCCCAAAAATATTATTAGTCAAAATGTATATCAAAATTATAATTAATATATATGTTGTGTGTCAGATGTCGATTTGCGTCAACTGACAGTTGACGTGAGTCAGATGACTAATGCTGGCCAAACCTTCTTAAGGCATTATAAATCGACCTAAAATAGGCTCATAATTTAGGCCAGTCGGCATCTGACGCAAATCGTCATCCGGAGAATTACAAAACTTAAAAATTGTATTATAAAATAAGTATAATAAGAAAGTAATGCTAGTAAATTTTTTAAATCATATATTTTGTCATGATGTTAATTATAATTAAATTTAATAATAATTATAAAAATTAATGAAAATTACAACTTACTACCACTGGTGGTCAACACCAGTATCACATGATTTCTATTTAAATAATTTGTCACCCCGCGTTACACCTTCCACATTTCATTTTTACTATATATTCTGGGGATAATTTTTTTTAAATGTAAAATCATATTCATCTTGTCATATACTTAATTTTGGCCAAAATTTATAATTCTGGCTAAATGCCTTTTTAGGATGTTAGGTAATGGTACACAAATCAAAAAAGGCGATTTTGATTTTGTCAAAAATCAAAATATAGTTACACGATCTTCCAAAAAGGAGATTTATGTTATCAGTAATGATCACCAGTAGTGGTAAATAGTAAATTCCAAATTTTTAATAAAATAGAAAATAAATCATATTCTGATAATAGTAAAGAATTTTTAAATAAAAAATCTATTTAAAATAAAGAGAATCCTAACCAAAATATTCAAGTTAAGGAATATAGTTACGAGGATAAAAAAAATAGGGATTTATAATTCAGAAAGTAACAAATATCACTGTAATCATTATTAGTAAAATTTAAATTTTTAGTAATAAAATAATTAAAATATTAAAAATTAATTTAATTTTTTTTTTTAAATATAATTTATAAAATTTCTAAAGATAAATCAACTTTAATATTAAGAACTCATCTTAAAAAAAACATTTTATATTTATTTTCAAAAATTAAAAAACTAATAGGTAAATATGTTAATAAGATAAAAGATTCTTTAGTATATATATTTATTTTTATTAATTTAAGATTTAATAATTTAATAATTTATAATAATAGATATTTACACATATAAAAGATTGGTTAAATAATTTAACTAAATAGATAATTATAGATAACCAATCTTTTATTGTTATTGAAAATATATTTTTCAAGCAATAATAAAAAAACTTATTTTAAGCTAAAATTAGTTTTATTAATATTATGTATAATAATATTATTAAAGTATATGATAAAAAAATTAATATTAAAAAACAATTACAAGAGTACTAGGTAAAATCTCATTTACTCTTAATTATTAGACTTTTAAAAATCAAATTTTATTTCTTAAAATTACAATATACTTAATTACAAAAGATTGAAAACTTAAAGAAATTCTTTTTGATTTTTATCATTTTAAAGAATCTCATTTTAGTAAAAATATTTCATATATATTTTATAAAATCTTAAAAGAATATAAAATATTACAAAAGATAAATTTTTAATTTATTTATATTAAAAAAAAAAAATAAGTATATTTTTAATTAACAAATAATATTTTTAATAGACATTAAATATTATCAACAGATGAAATTACAGTTTCAAACATCACGTAGAATTTGTCAATCAATGATAATCTCACGTTAAATGATATTATTACTATGCTAAATAGTAATCAATAATAATTTCTATTTCTTTTATTTTTTTTGTATAACTTGTTTATTCTATTTATTCTATTTCGCCTGTAATTTTCTTAATGACTATAATTTATTTTATTTCTTCTTATTATTTTTATAGTTTATATTATTTTTATTATTTTATTATATTTAAGTATAGAAATATATATCTATATTTAATTAATTTATATAGTATAATCATAATAAATTCGTTTTGTATAAATAAAATAACTTTTTGCTTAAATTATAAATTAACTCTTTTGTAAGTTTCAAGTTATTAATAAAGAAATCAATTTAAATCCATACAAATTTACTTTTCCTTTTAACAGTCTCTCATCTAAAATTTGTTATGATACTCTACATTAACTTATTATTAAGTTCGTTATTACAAGTTTGACTAATATATTTTAAATTTTAAAACGTAATAAATTGTCAAGTTGATTCAAGTATAATAAATACTTGTAAAATTTAGAAAATCCTAAGGTCAAAAACTTCAATGTGTAAAATTAACTGCTATAGGCTTTTAACTTAGATATTAAGATAACTGAAAATAAACCTAGTGATAGCATTACATCTAATAATACATACTAAAAAAACAGAAACTATTGTTAAATCTGAAGCAATCTTGATACTTTCTAAAATCAGAAATTTTATTAATTTAAGATTATATAAATAGACAGAGAAATGTAAAAATTATGTGACCAAAAATTTTTCATAGTGCATAGACATATATTGTCCTTTATTTTGCTCTGAATAATAATATAAATATTATATTCATTTATTTAAAAGTTATTTTTGAATGATAATATAATTTTAATTTTGATAATCAACATATATGATAGTTAGCTCATATTATTAATTTAGCTATTTAAGAACTTTTTTTAATATTAAAAGAAGTTAAATTAAAAAAAAAAATGTATTAGAAATATAAAAAATAATCAAAATATAGAAATACATCAGGAATATTTTTATTGCGAAGTATTGCGTAAGATTTACGATTTGTAAACTTATGCAAATATTACGGCATAAGGTTACGCAATATTTATGTT